TGTAAAGTCCTATCGGGAGTTGCTTCACACCCCTTAAGGAACGAGATTATTACAGTTTCCTGCCGCAAGTCACAACGTATGATGTGGCGTGTGGTTTCCAATATTTTCCATTGATGCTTGGCATGTGGGTTCCATTGATGTGTCGTATCTACTCGCACTATTTTCCTTAGATACTTAGGCTGTTCGTTTTTTTTTAATTTAACAAATGGGATTTGTACCGCACGTAGATAAGGTTTTGGCACTTTCTTCATTTACACTTTATTTTTTATATCTATTTGTGTTAACATTTGTAGCTCTAATTTCATCTTCACTTTTATGGTGCAGGTGATGATATGACAACATTCTCAGCTGTTCCCTGTGGGATGTGGTCTTAGCCCTACTGTTACAAATATTGTTGCCCAAAGACCTCAGACGCCATGCTTTGTGTGTCCGGGCATTTCTTCGGGGGTGTATTTATATAAAGGAGGTTGAAGCCGGGCGCGGGTGGCTCCGCCTGTCATCCTAGCACTCTGGGGAGGCCGAGGCGGGGCGGATCACTCGAAGGTCAGAGTTCAAACCAGCCTGAGCAAGAGCCAGACCCCCATCTCTACTAAAATTAGAAAGAAATAAATTGGACACACTAAAAATACATAGAAAAAACTAGGCCGGGCTGGTGCGCATGCCTGTAGTCCCAGGCTATCGGGGAGCTGAGGCAGGAGCGGATGCGAGCCAGAGGTTTGAGGTTGCTGTGAGCTGGGCTGACGCCACGGCACTCTAGCCCGGGCAACAGAGTGAGACTCTGTCTCAAAATAATAAAAATAAATAAAAGGAGGTTGACTGGGGGCGTGGGGCTGCACACTTTTACTGCAGTAGGTGTCACCCACCGCTCTCCAGAACAGGCATGTCCGCTTATCCCATTAGCCGCCCACGCGTTCCCATTTGCCCGGATGGTCCATTACAAAAGGGTCCGACCTCCCCATGGTGGTCAGGGTGGATGGTGTAGAACGCACCACCTTGTGAGTTACTATTCCAAGCCTGCATCCCCGAATCAACACTGAAGTCCTCTCTGTGACGGACCATTCGCAGATTCCTCCTTTGGAAAGTCCCTGTCTGTATTCTCCGCCTGGGTATTTTTCTATTGGGTCATTAATCATTTTCTTTCTTTCTTTTTGTTTTTCTTTTTTTTGTTTTTTTTTAAGACAGGGTCTCCTCTGTTGCCTCGGGCGTAGAGTGCCGTGGCATCAGCCTCGCTCACAGCAACCTCAGACTCCCGGCTCAAGCGATCCTCCTGCCTCAGCTCTCCGAGTAGCTGGGACCACAGGCACGCGCCACCACGCCCGGCTAACTTTTTCTATATATTTTTAGTTGCCAATTAATTTCTCCTATTTCTAATAGAGACGGGTCTCGCTCTTGCTCAGTCTGGTTTCCAAACTCCTGACCTGAGCGATCTTCCCACCTCGGCCTCCCAGAGTGCTAGGATCACAGGCCTCAGCCACCACGCCCAGCCTAATCATTTCCTAAACGGTTTTATAAAGAGATCTTTATGTATTTTGGATTAGCAATTGTTTGCTGCAAATGTCTGCTCACATCTGCCCAACTCCCACAATGGAGTTTCAAAAATGCAAGCTGGGAAGTCTTCTGCCTACAGCGCCCCTAAAATGCGAAACAGGGGTGCAATCCCGGGTCCAAAGAGAAGAGGCGACACAGCTTCCAGAGCTGCAAACACCACCAGACCGTGCAACCATCACACACGTAGGGCCGCCTCACACTCCTCAAGGCATTTCAGTCACCTCATTTCAGCCTCCAAGAGCCTGTGAGGCCCGTCCCGCTCCCTTCCAGAAGATGAAGGGCCAGCCAGCGGCTGTCGCTAAGATCTTGGCGATGGTCAAGTGACCCCGATTTTGCAGCTGGGACAATCTAGACCCAGAGGACCCGACGAACGTGTCTGCAGGCACAGCCCTGCTCGCGTGGGAGGAGGAGGAGAGGACCTACAACCTCGTCACCCGGTCGGCCCTCAGGTGGTGTCCGTCTCCCCAGGAAATCGCACAGGCCGGGCGAGGCGGCTCACGCCTGTCATCCCAGCCACTCTGGGAGCCGAGGCGGGCGGATTGCTCGAGGTCAGGAGTTCGAAACCAGCCTGAGCAAGGAGCGAGGACCCCGTCTCTTATAAATAGAAAGAAAGTTAATTCAGCGACTAATATATATAGAAAAAATCAGCCGGGCATGGTGGCGCATGCCTGTAGTCCCAGCTACTTGGGAGGCTGAGGCAGGAGGATTGCTTGAGCCCGGGAGTTTGAGGTTGCTGTGAGCTAGGCTGACGCCACGGCACTCACTCTAACCTGGGCAACAAAGCGAGTCTCTGTCTCAAAAAAAAAAACAAAAAAAACCAAAGTCCACACCAGGGGTACGTCCCCAGCAGACGGGGGCGGGAAGGCCTGGCTCCCTGGCAGGCACAGCGCTGTCCAGCGACCTTCCAGAACATGGGACAGCACGAGCACCCCCCTTCCCCCACTCAGGGGACCCGCCCCGGCGCCTCCTCCCCCGACGAGAAGATGCCACGGCAACGCAAGAATGAACCTCATGGACCACGTTTATTGAGCAGTGACCGTGGGGACCGACACTGCACTAAGTCCCCAGATGTCACTGCCAGAGGCCCGATTCCGTCACAAAGTGAAGGGGGGTGGGGGGGGAGAGACACAGCGCTTTTTGAAGTTAAGGTTCCACACAGGCATGTCGACTTATCTGGGCGTCACCTCTAACGCCGTCCGCGGGCGGGACTGGCTCTCCTCCTCCGTCTCAGAGACACCTGACCGTGCCAATGGCCGGAACTGGGACCCCGGAGAAGGAGGACCCCGTGGCAGCCAGTGTGACACGGTCTTCACCGGCCGTGTGTCCCCAGGCCTCCAGCACGGAACCTCTCGGAGACGCGGCCCTCTGACTGGTCGTGCGGCACAATCGGCGGCCCCCTGGCCAGCTCGGGCCACTCTGTCCCCCGCGCTCTGGGGACAGGCACAGCCCTGCCCACACAGGGAGGGGGAGGACCTGCCTACAACCTCGTCACCCGGTCACCCCGGCGGCATCCGTCTTCCCAGAGAAAGTCCACACCAGGAGGGCCGCCCCAGGACACCAGGCGCAGGAAGGGGGGTGGGAGGCTCCGGCAGGCCCGGGCGTATGTGCAGACCACGACATTCCCGCTTCTGGGCACACTGCCTCCCGGAGGGACAGCCCTGCCCTGCCAGGGACGCCTTCTCCATTTCCCCAGAGACCAGACACACCCAAACTCATGCTGCGGAATTCCTCCAGTTTAACTCCCTGCTGTGGGTGGCTTTTTTTTTTTTAATGAAAATACAGACCCTTAGGAAGGCCAATGCAGTCTGAATATGCCCATTAATGTCTCACCTTGTGGCTTGCAGTGCAGAATCGCCTGTTTCTATTATTGCGGGGCAGGATTGCAAAGCATTTTCCTTCCCTGCCTTGGCTGGGAGTTGCACTGCAGCTCAAAGAGCTGGAAGGACACCTGGCGCCAGAGAGGTGTCCCACGAGCAGCTGTAAGATATGAAGGAACAGGCAGGGGCCGGTGCCCGGTGGGTGCTGGCAGCCACTCCTACGAACGTGGGAGTGTCCAAAGAGTTAGCGGCATTTAGGGTGGGTGAGGAATTCACTTGGCAACCGCAGGAACAGATGAAAACCAACCCGAAAGAGTCCCGGAGCATCCCTTTCTGCTGGAAATGCTGACCGGTGAGGACGTGCTTGGACACACCTTGGCGTGGCCGCTTGTTTGAATGACTCCTTCACAAAACCTCAGCGGGCACGGCCCATGTTTCCTCTGCAAGGGTTTTTTTTTTTTTTTTTCCCCTTACATCAACATTTTAAAAGGGTTTGGGGGCCGTTCGCGGTGGCTCACGCCTGTCATCCTACCACTGTGGGAGGCCGAGGCAGGAGGATCGCTTGAGCTCAGGAGTTCGAGACCAGCCTGAGCAAGAGCGAGACCCCCGTCTATACTCTAAATGGAAAGAAGTTAGCCAAACAACTAAAAATAGAAGAAAATGAGCCGGGCATGGTGGCGCGTGCCTGTAGTCCCAGCTACTCGGGAGGCTGAGGCAGGAGGATCGCTTGAGCATAGGAGTTGGAGGTTGCTATGAGCTAGGCTGACGCCAACGGCACTCTGACCCGGGCAACAGAGTGAGACTCTGTCTCAAAAAAAAAAAAAAAGGGTTTGGGGTCTCACACTGAAGACAACCTCCTAAGAAATACCATCTAGCAGTGCCGGGGAGACAAAGCCAGAGGCTTTCTGCACGGAACCCGTATAAAGGCCCTGAGTGACAGGTACACCTGGGCACGGGGGGCCTTGCAACGTGCCAACGTGGGCAGCTCCGGGAAAAGCGTCCAAGTAGCAGGACGTCAGCAGAGCAGCTGCCCAGGCCACGTGGTCGGGATCTCTGGCGCTCAGCCCACGCCCGGTGAGCGTGGAGGTGGTGGCCGGTGCCCAGGGCGGGCTGCATCTGTGCAGGCTGCCCTGAGTCCCCAGCCCGGCCAGCTTCCTCCGTGCTCCCCGAGCCGTCTGTCCTGAGAGTCCCTTTGAGGACGGTCCGCGAAAAGAGGAAAACGGGACGGACGGCCAGGCTCACGCCGGAGGGAGAGCAGCGGTTCCGGGGAACCAGCGCAGGGTCGCATCCACGCTGGCCCACCTTCCCGGTGCCTTGGGGGTACTCTCCAGCGGGCGTCCTCAAACTTTTTAAACCGGGGCCAGTGCGCCGTCCCTCAGACTGCTGCAGAGTGTGCACTGCGGGCCCGGGACGAGTCGGCCGCTAAGCAGGACAGGCAGCAGCAGCAAAAACACCCGGAGACCCGGATAAATGTGCTAGGCGGGCCGCAGTTTGAGAACGCCTGCTCTCCGGGATTCAGCGGAGAACAGGCCAGCAGACAGGGACCCCACGGAGCGTCTTTCTACCTATGGCGATCGTGCCCTTCCGGACAAACAGGCAGGACCCCCTCCGGCCTGCGGGCCGCGGCACAGAGGCTCAGTTGTAGGAGAGGTAGTCGATGAGCCGGGGCGGGATGTTCAGCTTGGCGATCTTCTCCAACCCGCGGACGCCGGTGGCCTTGCGCAAGCTCACCCTGCAGAGCTGCGACAGAGTCAGAGGTGTCTCTGCAACGAGGGAGGGAGGGAGGGAGGACGACGGGAGGTCAGTTTCCGGAAGGCGCACGGCACCCTGCACCCTACAACGGAGTCGGACAGAGCTGGGAAAGCCTCCCTCACCCTGGAAATAGGACGCACCCCCGCACGCCTTATAGGGAAGGACAGCGTGGACCGGAGGAGGCGACACCAGGAAAGGGAACTGGGGTGATGTCCACTGGGATTTAGTTGCATGAGTTTTGGGGGTTTTGTTTTGTTTCCTCTGTTAGAGCCACAGTGTTATAAAGAACTACCCCAGGCCGGGCGCGGTGGCTCACACCTGTCATCCTAGCACTCAGGGAGGCCAAGGCAATGAGGATCGCTCGAGGTCAGGAGTTTGAAACCAGCCTGAGCAAGAGCGAGACCCCCCGTCTCTACTAAAAAGAAATAGAAAGAAATTAATTGGCCAACTAAAAATATATAGGAAAAATTAGCCGGGCATGGTGGCGCGTGCCTGTAGTCCCAGCTACTCGGGAGGCTGAGGCAGGAGGATCGCTTGAGCCCAGGAGTTGGAGGTTGCTGTGAGCGAGGGCGGCCCTCAGGCCGGAGGGGAGTCCTGCCTGTTCTGTCCGGAAGCCAACGATCGCCATAGTAGAAAGCGCTCCTGTGGCGTCCTGTCCGCGGCCTTTCTCCCTGAATCCGGGAGCAGGCGTTCTCAAACTGCGGCCCGCCTAGCACATTTATCCGGGTCTCGGGTGTTTTTGC